GTCTCAAATATTCATGTCATCTATTAGTTGCCTTTTCGAAGGAAGCAAAGAGATGACAACAAAGCGCTATCTTCACGATGTACCGTGGACAAACCGTTCTATCTGGGGGAGGTACCCTACGCCGGAGTAGAGTAGAACTAAATCGAACATAACAGGGGGTAATTTGAAATATTTGTAGTAAAATGAATAAAAATGTCAAGAGGATAGTATTCATAAAAAGGTAATGGTCAATAGTATATCTAATATTTTATTAGTTTCTGACAAATATCCTTCCCCTTTGTCACATTGATTAATTTTTCTGCAAATATTTCAAATTGCCCCCCCTTATGTTCGATTTAGTTCTACTCTACTCCGGCGTAGGGTACCCCACTCCGGCGTAGAGCAACCTCAATCGAAAATGCTATGAAATAAAGCCGGTGAAAAATTTACGAAATGAAAAAATTACCATTTCTTGATTTGTTTTTGCTAAATTTCTTTGAATATCAATCCGATTCCGAAGAACTCTTTTCAGAAGGACCCTTTTTATAGAGCAAAATAATATCTACAAAGAATTTCTTGACAAGATTTTCACTGTATGGCAGAGTTGGGCGGGTAAATTACGTTGGTAAATTACACCGTTTTTTACCGACGTATAATTTACGTAAATTACCTCGACGGGTGTTTTACATTTTTTACATTCCTTCTAAAAGCTTGCAATTTTCGATTACTAGAGTGTTTTATATTATTCCGAGTGACGAAGACGCAGTATTGGACACATAAAAAATTGTATATTATGGCCCAAGGACAGATAAACTGCGAATTTTAATTTCACTTTGTTCGGTTAGAACGCGGTTCTCGGTACTTGAGGCATACAATATCATTTTATGTCCCTGGGACCGTAAAACCGCGATTCTAACATCGATTTCCTCGGTTAAATCGCGGTTTTCGGGCCCAGAGACATAAAATATTGTATGTCACACGGCGATAAAACTATTTCCTGACTCGTGTGATTAAAATCCTCGATTCGCGGCATTTTAAGAAACTCAAAAACATGAGCCTCATACCTCGTAAAGAGTAAATTTCACGAGGGTCAAACGTTGCAAAAGACCAATGTCACAAGTCATCTCCATTGTGAGGAAGTCAATCTCATTATCTATTGAGCTTTATTGGATTTTCCGCTTTATTATTTGGAGCCCGGGAAAAGCCCAGTTGGACCTGAAAAGAACCATTTTGTTCTGAAGAGTTCAAAACAGCTACCAAAGACAATTGAATTAGTTTTGTCATTTAAGAATGCTGAATTAAACAAGCTAATATCAAAACACAAGATGATGACGCAATGAATTCAATAGAGATCAATAAATAATGAGATTGACCCTTGTAAAATTCATCCCTTACACGGCATGACCCTTACGATGTGAGACCCTCGTGGTTTATCACCCTTGCGAGGTATAGTCTTCGCGAAGCTTCACGGTTTACGATAAAAGGTAACGTCGATTTTTTTTTCCATTTTTTACATTTATTACGTAAATTACGCGTTTATTACATGTCATGTAAAAAACTGCTGTCATCGACAGATGCCCAACGCTATTGTGTGGCTTTGATTGCAAGATATTTGGCAAAAAAAAAATAAAGACACGTCCACCCAAAGAGGATTGACTAAAGTAGAGGCTCAGATCTCGGGGTTGGACTGACCCCAAGCCAAAAGTAGTTCGACCCCAACGGAGGGATGCCGCCACGGTCGAATCTGACGGCTGGGCGAACTGCCTGTGCGGGTAACTCGACAGTAGCAGACCCGCTGTCACAGGGATGGTTTCGGAGGGGAATCTATATCCTCCTCGTCCTCAGCATGTTCTTAATGTTTTTCAGGTGATTAATTTGCTGGCTAATTATTATTAAGGAATGAAACATAGAGGGCGTGACGGAGGATTAAATTCACCATCAATCGATCCCCGTTGCATCCCTTAATCACTGTAACAAAAAAATACAAACTACGACAAAGTCATGGGCCAGTGAGAAAAATAATTTTCTACTCGGCGCACAGTGACTTTTCACCATACGCTCGCGAATTAAAAATTCACTTCTCCCCTCCTAATTGAGATTAAGGGATGAAAAAAGAGTAGTTCGATGGAGAATTAAATTCCCCACCAACTGACCCTCTTTCATCCCTTAATCTCTGTGAAAAATGGAAGAAACTGTCATGGAAATAACAGCGCAGTAAGAAAAATAATTGTTTTGCGGCGCACAGTGACTCCCGGTAATTAAAAATTCACTTCTCCCCTCCTAATTGAGATTAAGCCATGAAAAAAAAAGCGGTTCGACGGAGAATTAAATTCCCCATCAATTAACCCTCTTTCATCCCTTAATCTCTGTAACAAAAGAATAAAAACTGCCATGAAAGTCAGGGGCCAGTAAGAAAAATAATTGTTTTGCGGCGCACAGTGACTCCCGGTAATTAAAAATTCACCTCTCCCTTCCTAATTGAGATTAAGCCATGAAAAAAAAAGCGGGTCGACGGAGAATTAAATTCCCCATCAATTACCCCTCTTTCATCCCTTAATCTCTGTAACAAAAGAATAAAAACTGCCATGAAAGTCAGGGGCCAGTAAGAAAAATAATTTTTTCGCGGCGCACACTGACTATTCACCATTCGCCCGCGAATTAAAAATTCACTTCTCCCCTCCTAATTGAGATTTAGGGATGAAAAAAAGCAGGTCGACGGAGAATTAAATTTTTCGTTAATTGACCCTCTTTCATCCCTTAATCTTTGTAAAAAACAATTAAAAACTGCCATGAAAGTCAGGGGCCAGTAAGAAAAATAATTTTTT